TGGCACAGGCCTCCTATCATTGTTTGAAGGTCTACTCAATGAAGCAACCCATCTCTGAGTTCCCTTCTTCTTACGCCGGCTTCAGGTGAAGGTGCTCCTATCGCGGAAGGACGTGGAACCGGAGCTTCAGTTGTACCAGGCATCCCATGTCTTGCTAGGTGCCACTTCGAAGATAGTGGCAATTCAAAGAAAGTTTAGATCTGCATGATGTGCCTAAGGAGCAGGCACAGCTTACAGCATATAGGGTAGAAAATCCGTGTCAAACAGTTTGAACTTTGAACTGAAACTTGAAATTGAAACTGTGCAGCATGTCTTGCTGTGACTGCACTTGGTTGGAGCTGTTTTGTCGGTTCGGGGCGGTGACTCAAACTCAGACCCGTTCAGTGATGAGACTCAACTGCATGTCGGTTGATCGCGAAGTATGACTTGACATGCGTTGAGGTCTCTCATACCCAATATCCCCTTTAACTTGGTGTGCTTAGGACCTGCAGCGTGAAATATGCTGTGAAGAGTCTCTTCGACCAGGGCCACCAGGGCACGACTGCCAGGCAAGATGTATACATTGGAGTGGGATCATGTGACACGACCATCCCCATATTGAAAACTGTTGAGGCCAGTGAGAAAAACAATCCAGAAGAAGAAGCCTACGCCGATCTCACATCGCTCGCGTAGGACTGTGGGACTGAGATCACTGGGATCAACAAACAAGTGGCAATCAGCTAAAGACAGTCACTAAACATCCCCATGTCTATGTCACCCATACTGTAACCTACACAGTTTGGAACCTGGGCCTCAATTTGCATCAGGACATACTATCCGAAGACTGATATTCCGAAGTCTCTCAACCCTGCTACTTCTGGGGCACGATCTGTCTCTGATGGCTTCCGATGGGCCCACAAGTTCATCCAGAGGTTGGTTCACAGGTTTGGCACGAACCAGGTACACCGTGCACTTGGGGGGCTGGAAGTGGGATGTCACAACATGTTTCAGTGGCATCGGATGTGCTGAAACAGTTCAGGCCTCAAACATCCTCAAATTGTCATGTGTTTATGCCATACTTTGGGTTTATGACCCACTTGCCTTGCATGCCCCTCATTCCAAAGCTCCTCTCTTGAGGCTTTGATGTCCTTCCAGATGGCATCCAGCAAGGCCTTGTCAGAGAGGAGCAGGGTCCCGACCGATTGGGGGGCTATGACACACTGGTCCTGTGAGAAGGATCCCTCGTGTCAGCGTGTGCTAGCAAACACTTGGCCTGGACTTTGTTGCTTCGGTGATGTCAAAGATGTGCGTGTCTCCAATGCTAAACATAACGTGACCGCTCACTGCACAACACATGGCATCGAATGCCCAATCAAGATTGGGAAGAAGTCAGGGAGACACTGAACTGCATTTTGTAGGATGGTGGAAACAACACTCCACGGGGTGGGGAAGAGGTTGAAAGCGAATCATGTGACTCAGGAACACGTGTACGAATCGCAGGCGAGTTTCATTTGTGCAACATGGTGTATGCAACCATATGCAACCTTTTTTGTGTCCATGTTCTCTTAGATACACCTCTTCAAACCAGTACTGGCGCCTTGACTTGACCAGGTGCTCCCTGCCAGCCCTTCTCAAGGATGGGCCTCCAGCGTGGGCAGAGTGACGAGAAGTACATGGCGCACAAGGCCTTTTATGAAGGCTGTGAGGGTGAGGTCGATCTTTTGATTTTGGAAAACGTCTGTGAATACAATATGGAGGCAATCGTTCGTCAGGAGCTGCCAACGGGGTGGGCATGTAAGGCCTTTCGAATCGATCCACGTTTGTTTGGGTTCGGCACAGCCAGACCCAGAGTTTATGGATTGGCGTGGAAGTCTTCAAAGTTCGAGCTCAGCAAGGAATTCAGCTTCATGGATGTACTTGATGGCCTACAAGCCACACCACGAATGACAGCCAAAGACTACTTCTTCCTTACCAAACAGCCCACCAAGCTTTCAGAATCGGATGTATCTCAACTGTCATCTTGTGTCACCATTTTCTTGCAGCCTCCAGTCTCAATCCGGTGTTCCTTATCCCATATATTACAAAATATTCTATATACTAGCTCAGGCATTGAACTTGCAGCACTACATGGACCAGAACATGTGTGCCAAAGCGAAGGAGTGGGAGGTGGCAGATCTGGCCCAGCTAGTGCGCAATGGGCGTGCCCGGACCAGCTTGGTGGATGGAAGCCTGATGACTTTGACCACAAATTCGTCGAAGCTGTATGGGAAGGCTAGGTATCAAACATTCTGTCGTGCAATCACATCTCCTCAAAATGTGGTTTTAGTATGTTTTAGCCTTAGTGAACTCAAACACCTATCACACCTTCGTAACCTTATGAGCGGCCACCCAGGAGGCCAAGCGGTGCATGGACCCACTTGAGATGCTCTCTTCTCTCCAGATGCCTACGTCTCGAGCACAGGGCCGGATCTGCAAATCGCCCAGCCTCTGCGTCGAAGACGTGAGCAGCACGGCCTTGGTGCGCATGGCAGGGAATGGAATGCATATTCCCTGTGTAGGGGTCATGGTGATCCTGTCGTTGATGTGTTTGACCCCAAACAACTAGTTGTATTTACCTTTTGTTCAATTAGGAATTCCTGTGCACAAAAAGGCAAGCTTATTGCGGGCTAGCTGATTTACGTTGAACAGCTCATGAAAAAGGTGTACGACTAAATGCATTGCAGGCCGTTCAGCCCTTTCATTTAGCATATCCAGCTTTGTTCTTGAACAGGATGACTTGGTCAGGGATTCCAAGCAAACCGCAGGTGTTTTGTCTTCCGCCGGTAGTGGTACCCAGACCTGTGCAGTGGGGGTCATGGGGAAGCGTGGGCAAAAGAGCTCACCTCCTTCCTCAACCAAAGCACAGAAGCTAGATCACCTGCCAGCTTGGGCCAACATGATGGCCGAAGGGGTGAGGAGTGTCATTTGGATTGACCACTTTGTGAAATTCAAACAGTAGGTCTTATGCGATAGTGTGCAACACATGTACCAGGACTTTCGACCCAATGAAAGACCAGCACCCAGTCTCGTGGCTAGTGAAGAACTTGAAGAACAACCTGTACCCAGTGCTCTTCGAGTGGGTGAACGAGGTTCTTGGTGAAACTACGCTTCGACCTGGGGATGTGTTCATGCCAGATACTTCTTGAAGATTTGAAAAGAGTTTTCGGAAAAAAAAACTTGGGGAGGAAATGTTGTGAGTAGAATGGAATCTAAATCTTGGGTTGCACCTTGGACAGCTTTGACTTTCAGGAAGGGACTCGTGTGAGCCACCTGGAGATTCCACTTCTCGCTTTTGCTGTTCGGGTGCCACCGGACGGCCTGCCAATATTAGCTGACTGGGCTTCCCACGCGCTGTCCATCTGGTGTTCTGGCTACGAGTCCTGGCGAGAAGCCATGGAATTCCGACCTGTCTCCATAAACCTCGGGGACCCTTTGAGCTACCACAGCATTGAGGTCACAAAGGGTGCTGGCAGGATTTCCATTTTGTGGTTCACAGTACTCTACACCTACCTACACCTCCAGAAGAAGATGAACGAGGAAGCGTGGGACCAATTCAGGCAGTGGCTCAAAAGCACTTTAGGGATGACTGGGTCGTCCTTGGAGACATCAAGTTTCAACATTTGAAAGGGTGATGGTCTGGGTGGGACCGTCGTCCTTTGGCCAGTGTCAGGGCTGTGTTGGGGTGATGGTCTGGTTGAGACCGTCGTCCCTGGATCCAAACCGTCGCCCCGGCAGGCAAACCGTCGTCCCCTTACCCTGCCCGTCAGGGTGATGGTCTGGTTCAAACCGTCGTCCTTTGATCCCATTGGGAAGGCAAAGGGTGATGGTCCGGGTGGGACCGTCGTCCTTTGAAAAACGGAAACTTGAAGTTCCCAAGGGTGACGCATCCATGCTCTCAAGTGTGTCTCTGGGAAAATTGAGGTGATAAGTTCTAGCAGGGTCCAACACTGGAAATTGTGGTTGAAGAAAAACATGTTAGAACAAATTCAAAGGGGAACAAACTGTCCATCATAGAGGCTTATATTACTCGATCCATCCTGAGGTGGCTTCGGACAGCTCTGAAATTATCATGCCAGTATGTGGAGGAGCATGTGGAGCAGAACTACATCTGGCGTCGTCTTCAGATGTCGCAGCAGCAAGCAGAAAGACAGAAAAAAAAACATCATTCAACTCAGCATGCTTTTTCACAGCCGAGCTGAGAAGCTGAAGCAGGAATGGTACGGGTCTATTGAAATCATTGTGTTTCCAAACAACTCACTGACCGCCATTTGCTTCGATCAAACATTCACTATGCCTATTTGGATGTTATAAAATTGGAGATATTTTTGAGTTGATGACAGCTTCTTTCAGCAATATCAGGAGAGCCCGGTGCCTATGGACTACAGCACGGCTTGGGATGAAGCGATTGATGAGTACAACTCCTACGGAATCGCGTCTTTAGCTGTGAGGCACAGGATCGACAAGGGCACATCGAGCTTGATGTACGGTTTCAAGGCATTGGGGATCTCCGGGATACATGGAAAGAACACTATGTTCCAGCCTATAACTGCTGTTTGCGCTTAGTGCTTTTGCTCTGTTCCAAATACTGTTTGGGCTTAGTGCTTTAGCTCTGCTCACTGAAAACTTCATCCAGCTTACATTGATGTTCTCGTATCACCATCCCTGTGCAGAACGGCGTTTGCGATGATGTCTGGCGGCTGCTTCTGCAGCACTTGCACATTCACAAGTTCGAAGCTTCAGGATGGGTTTTCACAACCACTTTAATCTCAAGGTTCAAAACAATACTTTGAGAGCACCCAACAAAAGAAAAAGATAAGAGTTCTGATCTCTTATCTAGTCAACATGTGTCAATGCCCATGCTGTGCACCCACACACAGCCTCCGCCCCTGACAGCCTTCAACAAAGACATATTGCTGAGCGACCGCTGGCTCCTTGGTGGATGCCCCAGATCAGCTGAAGCAGTTTGGCACGATGTGCTGAAGATGACCATCCCCAAACAAAAGCTCTTCATGGACCGAGTCCTCTTCGTTTTTGAGATCACCAAGGCCAAAGCTGGAAAAGCTCAGGTGTTGAGACTGAGCTCGCAGCAGTGGATGGCAGAAGCCGACGTGGCATGCCTGGCAGGTGACATTTTGGAACGAATGGAGTCTCATCGGAATTCCGACAACATCCTTTTGTTTCCGCCAGATACTCTCAAGATGGTGAAGCAGCGCTTCGTTGAGGGGACCTTTGGCTTTTCTAGATTTGACATTTCTTCTGAAGGGAGTTAAATATGCAATATAACAGACTATAATCAATATGTTTTCTCCACTGAACTCCAACCTCTTGGTTGTGATATATGATTTTCTCCAAGAACCCAGACCTTTTGGTTGTGAAAACTATATCAACTTAGGGATTTCCATGATGAGCTCAAGGCATTGGTGGAATGCCAGCATCCTCACTTTCGACCAGCTGACACAGACATGTGGGCTGACCACATGCAGAATCCCTCCAGCGCGGGCAAGAACAGTTTGGAGGCAGCTGATGGGCAAATCGATAAGCTGGAGATGGACAAGAACAAGGCCCACTTTGAGGCCGACGCTTTGTCTCTGGCTCGTGATGCTGCGCAGTGCGCTGCACTGTTCCAGAAAACACAGCAAACCGAAAGATCAAGGAGGTTGGCTAAGGTCATGCACTTGAAGCAGGAGAACACGGTGGGTGCATCTATCGTGGCAAGCTACATGGAGAAATCTTGCAAGCACATAGGCGGAGACCGACTTCTTCCTGCAGTGGATCAGGTGGGGAAGGAGCACAACTTCATAGTCAGCTCCAGTAAACAGGTTCCACCAGGTACAAAGAATCAAAATTACAAGGTTTTTCTTTCAGAATTCATAAAACTCATGTGGAATGACCTTGCATTAAAGGCACATTATCGTAAATCTCTTGAATAGGTTTGGGCCTACTTTCATGGTGGGTAATCCTGAGCCCCTAGATCAGGGACTATTCTAGTTCCTTTGTACCCCCTGAGTTCATCAGCAACTTGAAGAGAGACAAGGGCTGCCTCATCATTTGGGTGGACTACATGAAGCACGGTCGCTTAAGTGTCGCAGACCTCAACAGCACCACGGAGCTTTTGCAAAAGGCATTGTCTATGATGCCTGAGGAGGCCTGCGCATTTGTTGTAGCGCCCCAGTTGACTTCGGAAAGGAGAAGCTCTTTGCGAGATGAATTGAGGACAGTGGCTGGGGATTGGGGAACATGGGGACAATAGATACTAGTTATTTGGGGCCCTTACCAACATGTTGCCTGGATAGTGCTAGACAATCATGTTCCCTGGATTGAACTTTGTTTGAAATGTATCCCTGGACAGGAGAGTGGAGGATAAGTTGGATGCGCGCATGATGGTGGCAGAACCCATCCACATCAGGTGTGCTGTGCCGCCCACTAGCAAGAAGGTGGCCCTGGCATTTCCTGCTTGGCTTGTGTTCCAACATGGCACCGTGGATAGCAACATCTTTGCCAAGTCGTTGCTGCTGCAAGACAAGACCCTCAGCCTTGTCAGTGTGTTTTCGTGTTTGTTTCGAGCTAGCGAAGGGGTGCAACAAAGAGAATGAGCCCACTGTGCATGGTATCCGTTTTTTCTAACTTCAGGAGGTAAGAGGTTCATGTCTTCCAACATTCGTTCATAGGATTTCTGGTCAGGTCGAATCGTGAGCTGCTGCCTTGGGTACCGGAGTCTCAATATGAAGTGCCACAATCACGCGAGAGCTTGCCCCATGCAAGCGAGGGACAAAGGCGCTGCTACAAAAAACAATGGCACTACATGTCACCACTAACTATAGCTGAATTGAAGAATACTTGGCATACCAAAGAGTCAAGCAACACACAGACATGTAAACCTGTGGTTTCCAACTAGTACAAACTAAATCGCACCAACATTAAGACCTTGTGCCAGGGCGTTGAGCACGGTGCAGGAAACCGCCCAGCTCCTCACCGGCCCTTCCCTGCCTGAGACCATGCTGGAGGCTTTGTTTTCCAACGCTGAAGTTGGCGAGGTGGTGGGCCTGATCAATCTCTCCCCTTACGACGCCTGGGTTGAAAAGACCTGTTTGCAGTACCACATCCAAAAGGGTGGAAGGAAGCTTCGCAGTCTTACTTGTGCGACTGATGTGGACTTGGTCGACTACAGTCAGAAGCTGTGTGCTATGCTTCTCATGGAGGAGAGACAAGATGAGACAAGGTATCTAAGTGTCAGGGTTACAAAGCTGAAAACTGTTCCAAGTAGTTTGTAGTTTGGTTCATCTCAAAACTGAGTCAGGGACTGTGCTACTCGATGGCCTCTTGACTTGACATCTAGCTGCCAAGTATAAGACCTCGACCTTGAAACTCCATCTTTGGACCCTGGCTCAAACTTAAACACACCTTAAGCAAGGTGTGGAACATGTGGGGAACCTGTGAGGAGTGGAAGAAAGGATCAACGATCATGGGTGATGTCCGTGCATATGATCCTTCACCACCACCAGCTGAAGAGGTGGACCTCCAGAAGTTCACCTTCAAGTTGGCATCTGTTGAGGAGGATGGTTCCAAGAGGGGCTGGGATCGCTACAAGATTTCTTTGAGCAATGAGGTGAGGAAGCGCCACTTGGAAGACCCTATCCATTCAGAGCAGTGGAAGAATTTGCTGGTCGATTTCGATCGAAAGCTTCTTGTCTGGAGCTCTTCTTTCGGAGCTCTGTGTTCTTTTGACAAATGAATAGGTAGGGCCTGTGGGAACTCTGGTATATCTTGTCACACTACTGTCCTCCCCTTTCTCCAAAATCAATAGCTATTCTTGGCATGGGTTTTGCAACCCCAAACTGGAAACCCCAAACCTGGAAATAATATCTTCCGAGAAAATCTGGAAACCCCAAACTGCTCCAAACTGCAACTTTGTGTGCACCATACCGTGCTAGGTTTGGTGCCAACATCACAAAGCCTCCAACAGCGGAACAGCAGTCCGTGGTGCCTGCAGAGCAGGGGGAGGAGAAGGATGAAGCCGCCATGAAGAAGTGGTCCTGTGAGCCGCAAGAGCTCCAAGCACTACTTGACACGTATGTTGTTGAGACTCGGTTTTCCGGGAGGCACCCGACGACATCATTGTACTTAGTTCAAGCAGACCGTCGTAGTGGTGAGACTGTAGCAGTGACGAGCGGCCAGAAGTACAAGCTTTTCCTGGCCCCTTGTTTGGAATTAAAGTAAATTACTATCCTCATGATTGTCTTGAAGATATCTCTCTACTCCTTTAATGTGGTGTTCCAGGGTCCCATGTCGGGGGGTGGGGTTTCCATGTCGTATCAGGTGGCACACCAAGACATCGAGCTCAACGAGAAAGAGTTCATCCTTGGCTATGGTAAGTCTAAGTGGGTTGCTAGCGAGAAGGTGGCTAAGATGGAGAGGGAGAACCAGACTGGAGGCAGGCCAATCTGGGTACTTGGCCTTGCCTGCAATTCAATAGTTATTATGTACTGATTACTTGTTAATTGCTATTTGAAACAAGGTGAATGTGTGCTGCTTCTTCTTGCACGTGCTCCGTTGTCCTCTTTAAACATGGTCGAGGGGCCTAGCCATTTTGGACTGAAGGGTGCGCAGTTAGTTCGTCGAACATCTCTTAGTGGTGAAAGATGGATCTCGCCGGCGTGCTGGCAAATTATGGATTGAAACAGGACACATCGTTAGTTTGTTGGCTTTTCTATGTCTAGAGCCCAGAAACAGAGTTTTTGAGCATGACCTCAGTGACATGACCTGAGAGACCTGAAAGTGAGTTTCCTCACCTCCTCAAAAAACACATGTGTCGTACCAGCAGGACCTGAACGTCATGATTGAGGAGAGTCCAGGTGCTTTGGAGACACCCCCAGTGATGGTGTGCTCCTGAGACTGCCTTCCACTACTTGATTTCCCAATGTTCAAAACATTATGTATTGTTTCACCTACATTCACTGTCAGGCAAAGCGGGGCAGCCCTGCGACATCCGCCGCCAGCAACGGCTCTAAGAAACCAGAGCAACCACCAGCAAAACCACTCTTGCCTTTGCTAGCAAAGGCTGCAGGTACCCCTGGTAGCAATCAGAAGAAGCTGTCTGAGGAGACCAAGAGCAAACTGAAACAATCAGTTGAGATAGCTTTGACCACAGTCACTGGTGAGAAGCCTAAGCCTAAGGCAGCAAGCAAGAAAGCTGCTGTTCCCAAACGCAAGAGCAAGGAGGAAGTCAAGGAAGAAGAACCCAAAGACGGTGAAGGAGAACCCGAGGAAGAAGAACCCAAGGAAGAAGAACCCCCAAAAGCAAAGAGAGCTCGCAAAGCAAGGGAGCCTGAACCAGCCCCAACCAAAGAAGACACCATCCCCAAGAGGAAGCGTGGTACCCAAGCACCCAAGCCTAAGCCTAAGGCTTCCCCAAAGGTTGCTGCGACAAAGGTTGGAAAGGCTCGCAAACCCCAGAACCAGAAGACTGAGAAGAAGAAGGAGACTAAGAAGACGCAGAGGAAGAAGACTGAGAAGACTCAGATCAAGAAGACTGAGAAGAAGGAGTCGGAGAGTAAGAAGGCACCGAAGGTATCAGCGTCGGCTACCGCTCATGGTGGAGATGATGATGCTGCTGAACACAAGGTTTGGGCTTTTGTTTGACAATGCTAGATATTGTAGAGTCCTGGGTCTTGATTCTTCACTAACACTAATATCTGGATTCTTCGTCTTAATTTTGTATAATATCTTTTGATGTATGCCCTTCCGCACACCCTCGATTGATTCACTTGGTCACCGCACTCCAAAGGAGTCCGGGCATGAGGAGATTCCTGCTACGCAGGCTGATCCAAAGGCCTGAGCCGGGGGATACACACACCAGAATGTTTCACTTTGAAGCCTCTGAGTTTTCTCTGAATCTAGGGTTTTCAAGGCCTCTTGAGTTTTTAAGGGCCTCCTGAAAACTCATGTCCGTTCGACCAGGAAGAGGACCAGGCTTCAGAGCATGGCACCCTTTCGGCAGAGACTTTGAGCCTCCCTGGACTTGAAGGGGACGCAAAGGCTGCTAGTGCTAAAGCTGCGACTGGTTCAGAGCCAGCTCCAACGCGAAACAACACTATGCAGACTATCTATTGGAGTGTTGTGCATGAAGCTCAAGTGCGTTTGAAGAAACAACATCCTAAATTGTCTGGCAAAGAGATCTTGAAGATGGCCAGAGCTGAGTGGTTTGTCTCAACAGGACATGTACATGTTAAGACCTTTCAATGATGAATGCTTTGTTTCGTTTCTCATTTCACTTTAGCCTCCATTGGCACCAAACCAAAATCAATCTTTACTGAGGTGGGAGAACCATCCAGAACGCCTCAATGCCATGCAGCAAATGTCCAACTCAGAGCTTAGCCGCCGACGTTTGAAAGCGCCCAAGAGTGGTAGCTAGAATGCCTGGCTCGAAGCCAGGATTGCACTCTGCTTCATGGATGGACCCCATGGAGAGAAATCTTTTTGTCTTGAGTGCTTGGGTCTAGAATCTAGATCGACCCATGCCATGAATCTCATGTCAGTATGCGGGTATGCAGTTGCACGCCTTAGTTCACATAGTGACCGGTTTCTGTGTGTGGCAGCAACAGCAGGGGGCTCCAAAACAAGCTCAAGGCTGTACGAATGTGTAGTCATTGCATAAAATGCAACAGTGACACAACCAGGAGAACTTCATGGCTCATACCGTGGTGAATGTGCCCATAATCTGTTGAACCTGACAGGTGATGTCTGGTCAAACCTTTGCCAATTTCGCATGACCAACGACCAAGCCCGAATGGTGTTGGAGATCGCCCCAGAGAGTGGCAAGACGACCACAGACTCTGAACCATGTACTTTGAGGTCATTGCTCCATGAAATGGAAGAGGAAGGCATAGTGGATGTGGGGGTGAAAGGTCACTCGTGCGAAAGGCCTGGCGCCAGTGCTGAAGGCCAGCCATCGCTACCGCCATGTTTTGGCTTGGAGTTGAAATCATCATCAAACACTAGTATTTGAGAAATGTTGAGGAGATCATAAAAGCACTCAAAGCACAAGCGTTTTTATCCTTATTGTGTACTTTGATTTCTTGGAGGTGATGATGGATCTGACATCTACATTCTGAAGCCTAATGCCGTCGTACCAATCTTTGCCTTCACCTTTTCCGTTTCGAACCTGAAGTTCAGCACTGCTGCCTCTGCTTTCTCTCGGGAGGCTCAGGGTTCTCAGCCCTCCCAACAAAAAATAATGGGTGCAAACTAGGTGCAAAGATGTGTTTAATCCTTTGAGGATACCTTTCTGATCTGCTCTGCGTTCACCCCCTTGAGGTGATGGATGCCAGCCCCACTATTTCGAAAGCGTGGCGCGTAGCCTACGTAAAAGCTGAGAAGGACATGCTGTGTGATCGCAGGGTTGGGTGGTGGATTATTTCAAAGGTCCTCAGCAACTGAGAATCACAAACAATCCACGTTCAAGATCAGTTTGCTCATTCAAATTTCATTCATCGACTCTTTGTTTCGTCTTTCCTGGCCCTCGTGTTAGTTGCAAACATGCTCTCTATATCACTAGCTATTGCTTCTCTGCCATGTCTGTGTTCTTGTCCCTGTATTGTCACGCGTGGGGCGTTCAAGCGCAAAGTCCACATTGATACGTAGCTACTGTACGAGGGTTTGGGGCCAATCCTGAGTATCAAACAAGCTAGAAATTGTCTCACACATCTCTAGATCTCATGGTATCTCATGACTCATGACTTTCAGCCAACTACTGCAAGTCTCGAGCGGAGTGCAAACAATAACAATCAAACTTCTTATCATAGCCTCAGTGGGTTACACCAGGTGTCACACACAGACTACCATTTTTGTGGTGAAGTTACTGGAGGCCTTTACATTCGTTGCTGTTATGTTCTTTTCTGATCCTTATCTTCAAAGGTTTGAGTCCAGGAGGCCCTACCTTTAATAGAGATTTTTTGAAGTGTTCGAGAGGAGCTCTCGCCTCGTACCTCGGCTCTTGCACCAGCATTTTGAAGTCAGAATGTGTTTGCATTGCACTGGCATCACTTAACTAAAGGGTGGTCGCCGATCGTGAGTCTATGGAGTGTCTGAGGCAAACCACTATACTTTCTCAAGAGGCCGATGGAACTCAAGGCCAATTCAGTTGTCCGTTTGGTTTAGATCTGATTCAGATCGTTTTTGGAGTCCACTTCGAAGTGAAAGTGGAGTAGCAGTCCCATCGATGGGTCGATGGTTGATGATCTGATGATGGGGTGGCAGTGAGGACGAACTTCTAGAAATGGAAGACCATACTCTAAAGCACGTTATCGTTCTTGCTGACTCTGCAGCCCCAAAGATGAAGAGCAAGAGACGCACCTCTGGACCTGTGAAGAATGTGAAAAAGGGGTTGGGTGAGAGCTGCTTGTGCATGTGGATATGCAGGGTTGCTGCCTATTGTCCTAGGCTCGAATAAAATGAAATGGGGCTCGAATAAAATGAAATCTACTTATATATAAACTGTTGCAAACCCCACCCATCCAGCAACCCAACCTCCCACATGCCACACGGACACCCTACGACCGACCGAGTTGCATACGACTGACCGCCCGAAGCACCCGAAGATACCCGAAGCACCCGAAGGGTTTCGCCACACCGAAGACCCGACTCAGTCGCAACCACGACTGCCTTGCCAGACTCGATCCACCGAGGTGACCCCAACCAGCATCCAGAACGAAGAGACTTCGCACCTACAGCGGC